TACCATGAATTTTATAAACTATGATTGAATTTTATCATAATGTTTACAATTACACGTTTACTAAGTACTCTTCCTTCGGTCTTCTTGTTCAAAAGCCAACTTTGCGTGGAAGCAATGGTTGGTTTTATTTGGTGAATACCACGGACTCTCCACGTATTCCTTTTAACAGTTTTAAGGTCACAACTGTGATACTAGAACAAGCAAGACCGTGACGAGTATATTATAATGACGTTTAAGGCTCTCTTGTGATAATTAGAGTAGAGAGCAGAACCTTTAGCGTCTCTTTCAAAATGGCGGCCATGCATCGACGTTCTTTTTCTGACAACGAGAAAGGCTCAACGTGATAAATGTTGTTGTCGTCTCTACTTCCACGTCCTCCTTCTACAGTCTATAGTTTTTGCTTTGTTTTTATTCATAGGAAATTTCAGAGAAGGTGCCTTTGAGCAAGCTTATCAGTAGGTCTTCACGCTTCGTTGTAAAAGCACAGCTACCTTTCAGGATGGCGCAAAGAAGTGCGATGATTGCTTTCTCTGATAATAATTACGCTTTTTTTAAGCASCCAATGCTATCTTATCGGTAAGGTCCATATAATATATTGAAAACTGTATAAGCTAGAGCTTTTCCTGCAATAAATGTCCATGGGAATCCCATAATTTCTTAAAAGGTGAGATTCAAGATGGCGGGCCTAGTGAAAAAATGTTCACTATATTTGTTTCCATTCTTTCGAAAAAGAACAGTAAACCCAGACTGGAACTACTAGATGTCAAAGCCATTATAACGGTTCGGTTAATTTCGGATAAATACATTTCTTACGCACTTTCTGTTAGGAAAACTGCGTCTAGTGGAGCGTTTTCAATCTCCTTGATCGTAGTTATTCAACTATTTATGTTTAATCTATATATGGCATGTCTCTTTTGTATTTTCAAAGTCGATCGACATTCAAAATACTAAAATAAGCCCCATCAGTGCGGGCAAAAGAGCGACTGCCTTGACATTTTGTATTAAAGATGATGGCTCTGCGCTCCTTGGCTCTCCGGGAGTTGTGCTGATTTCAGTACCAGTACCGGATGATGTCCCAGTAGCTGGACTCTCGGTAGAGGAAGCTGATGATGTCCCATTCCCTGGAGTCACGGTTGGTCCAACTACAACGGCGATTGTGAAATTATACGGATGGTTACACAGATCTCCCTCGCAGCATTTGTGTAAACATTCTTCAACGTCAGCGTGTTTTTGTTTGTAGTCCTTGCAAAATCCATTGCATGTAGCTGAAGTACTACAATTGACAGCTATTTCGTCCTCGAAACCCGTGTTCGGTTTAACCTGTATTTTGATGCACCTGTCTTCATCTTTAGCACATTCTTTCTCTTTGGGAGCTCTACAGTTAACTTGCACTGTGCCGGTCATTTCCGAACAGTGGTAACACTTTAGGCTGTTAGTTCCTGCAATTTTAAATAAATCTCTCATTAAATGTTTGTCCATGCCTCAAGTTTTTCTCTTTCTGTCCGATCCCTTGAACGTTTATTTCAGATCGCATTTGAGGAAATTTTGTTACTTTAGAGATTTCAATTTTCTGCGATTTCATTTTTAAAAAGCCTGATTGGCGACTGAAAGTAGTATATACGTGATTAAACAGTCCCAGTCGCCTATATATTTTTTCTTGTTCAACAACACGCACGAAATAAAAATTTAAAATCCAAGGATTAAATTTACCATTTTGCTTTTTTTGTGGAAAATGACTTTTGCTACACTTACAACAAAGTCATTGAAATAAAAATGTTTTTTTCAAACGGGATAAATAACACATTGAATGTTATTAATATTTGTGGCGAGTTTTTGCAAATTTATATTGAATGTTCTTGTAAAGAGTTAACAGATTTGATTATACGAAAATGACTTTGTTGATGTCTTTACATCCACTGAGCAACGTTTAATGGGATTTGCTGTAGCAATATTTCAATTTTGGGTTAAAACATTTCTTGAATAAAATGAGACGTTTTCATCAATTTGACATTTCTTAAATAAAAATGAGACGTTTACATTTGGCCTTATGAACTGAAGTTGCACTTATACTATGCCTATCGATCTTTATATGGCTTAAAAAGARTACAATTAAATTTACAACAAGGTATTTCTTTGACTTTTTAGGGGAAAAAATCATCAACCATTCAAGGGTCTTCAACGGGATCTTTTGATTTGTTTTCACTATATTCTGCGTTATATTACACGACTTTAATTATAAATATTAATAATAATTGACAGTGATAAATCAAATTTAAATTTTATTATTGGATAAGATATTATTTTAGGTTCTTCGGTATAAATAGTTCATTGGCTGCCTGAACAATTCATTCAAAATTAACATATGGTGGGGTTGAACCAAGTAGCTTGTCCTACGTTTCACGCGAACGTCTGCTTAATTACTTAAAAATAATAATACACTCTTGTGAAAGGTGTCAGTTTGTCTAACATCAAACTATTGTGAAACTATTATTGAGCAAGTATGTCTCAGCTAACACTACAAACTACTCTGTGCTAATTGGCTCAGGTAGAGGATTAATAATAGCGAAAGCAACTTTGACTGCTAGCAGCCCATGCACTGAAAAAAGCTCTTATGATTTTATATAAAATTAAGCACGCAAATATTATACAGCCGGTCTTGAAAAGGTGTTCCACGTATCACTTATCTTGATATATATATATACAATTTCGCATAGAACATTCTTCAATTTCCATATAGAATTTTAAAAACATTTCATTTCATTTCCCTACTGACACATCTGACATTCTATCGCATTTCACACTAACAAGAAGTGAATATTTACACAAGTCACATGGCATTGTGACATTGGAAGTGTCTTATTTGGTGGACAGGCATGTCAAGATCGGTTGTATATTTTGTCCCTAAAATTGTCCATAAATTACCCCTTCAACGCAGGCATAAGGAATAATTTAACAAGGCTGTATAAAGGCTATTTCATGGATTCCTAGTGTTACGCGGTCTACAAAACCATATCTGTAACTTTACAGACGCGACAGGTGCACTTTAACTGCGTTACTCTCAAAGCGAAATGATTTTGTGATGTTTTGACTGATGAACAATTGCATATTCAAATKTWWWTTTTTTTTATTTTTCTCCTTTTCTTTTTGCATATTTTTTGCATATTTGAATTCATATATGTTTCTTCTTGTGYAGTCGTTTTCTTGGTATTCTATTTAATTATATTTAAAGCAATCTATTGTAATCCGTGTCAACGGATTGATGGTAAATATCTATACTGAAATCGCCACAATTAATGTCGCCTCTAGRCAGATCCTCTTTCAAAGGTAGAGTATTTGCGGTATTGAAATAAGACCTAATAACACAGAAAGTCGAATAGCTTTGCATACATTGAACACATAAGGTAAACATGAGGCGTTTTTAATCAATTTAACTGCACGGCCTCATGAACTGAAGCTGTACTTATATATATGTAAATGATTTTCAGTGCTCCGACCGCGAAACTCTCCATATCAAACAAGCTGTCACGCCTAGACTTTAACCAGACTTGAACATGCTAGTAAAGATATATTCATATTTATATATAATATTTAGGAAAATTGAGTATTTCAGACACATTGGAATCCAGAGAGTTCTATAAAGAGAGTTCCAGAAAAATGATAATGGATTTTGATTCAAAGCAAAAGCCATCGATCACTTCGATAAGCGTTATTGTAAATTCGGAAAATGGCGGGAAAAAAACACGAATTCGTGTGAAAAATTCTTTACATTTGATATTTTGATTATGAGCTTTGGAAGTACGTAACGCTTATCGCCACTTCGTCTCATTAGCGATACCACATCACGAGTCGGCAGATGAAAACAACGCCCCGTGTACATAAGRAAAAACATACATACACAACACAGCTACATTGAATGGATTGGCCGTACTTGTTGAAAGCCACAMCAGGCTTTTTGGCAAGCTTAGTACATCTATTGTATCTTATAGTATCGAAAAATGAATGATTTTGAAGTCATGCATTTTTTTCCGTCKTGAAGGGATTTTTGTTTTTAAGGGGTCAAAAAATAATTAAAATGTGCAGGCGTATTGCAAAATCCAACCAGGTATCCGTAAATTTCTATAGGATATAGCATTATCATCGCGCTATATGTAATGACTGAATGAATATTTTTTTAACATGTTAAATTTAAGTCTCAAAGCTCTTTCCGCAACAAGATTTGACAGAGGCGAATTTCCTACAAAACATCACATCCTCACTAAGATCAGTCTTCGTTAAGAGATTGAAAATTACTTACCTAGAGGTACTGTACACACGAACAAGGCAAATACAAGGACAGGAAGAGGATRCATTCTGCAAAATATGTTGACGACGATCGATCTTCACTAGACAGACTCACCAAATCCGTTTGCACAAAGCGCTTTTGTGTGGTGATAGTTGACCTTTATCAACACACCCGTTTTTAATATTCATGAGAAAGTCGGTMTAGAGGCAAATTTAGACTACAGATGCTCTTGTAAACAAAGTGATCATTGGCCTGTGGTTATATTCGAGTGTTTCTTAGTGTAGTTTCCTAATKGATAATCACTCCGTTGTAAACGATCGCTCTCGGCACAGGAAGCCCAAGCTTTATGTTGTGGTCAATAGTATCCTTCATCAATCTCGTACCCAGAGTCCGCACTTTTGCCATCCAACGGATGTCAATGCGTGAGAGACTCTGGAGGAATGCGTTATTTCTCGATTCGTGATTGGTTGAAAATGACGCGAGCGCGCATTGTTTTCAAGTCGGTTTTTCAAGTCGCCAGCGCGCGCTCGCCCTGTTAGTCAAGAAAACCATCCTTTTCTCGCATAACCACACATGTTTTCACACATTTTTGTTTTTAAAAAGGTGTATATACCTTTTCTTGACTATGTTGTGTRCTAAATCTCCTTCGTTTTTATCATTTTGATGCTCTAAAGCGGCAAAAACAAAATTGACCTAATTTGCATAATTTGCGACGGAAAAGCGTCATGTTACGACTACGGACGAAGGTCGCCATAAAAACCGTTATTAAAAACGGTATTAAAAACTGTCGTAAATAATATTAAACCCTTGCAAATGAAAGGTTAAATTAAGAGTAATTCTTGATAAAGGGGGMATTCAGGTACGGACTGTGAGCATTTACAGTTATTTAACCCAAAAACATGGCATTCATGATGATCATCAATTCACAGTTACTAGCTGTCGCATATATTATCTAACACCACTCTCGCTGTTTTCGATTCCACTGAAGTCATCGTAAAACCATGCCTCGAGCGTACACTTAAATAATTACAAAAATGTCGCCCAAGAAAAAGCTAKAACTTTTGCGTATCAGGAATTAATAAGCAAAATACAAAAGAGAGTGTTTCGGATTCAGTGAGATTTTTTAATGTTTCCTAAATCCCTAAATCTCGGAGCAGTTTGGATCAYGCAAACACTGTAAAAACTCGCGTGCTTTAAAGGCTGTAAATTTGATGTAAATATGATGTAAGTGTCCAAAATTCAGTAAATTTGATGTAAATTATTTCCATTAAACTTTCCATTAAATTTTGGACACTTATATCATATTTACATCAAATTTACAACCTTTAAAGCGCGCGATTTTTTTCCAGTGAAAAGAGGTGCCAATCTACTTGGTAATATCTCCTGCAGGCAATATACAAAGTATAGCCTATATGCTAATTTACCCGTAATCCTTTGCGGTATAGGCGCGTAGGGATGAACCGGCCGATCGACGACAATGTTTAGCTAAATGACTGGATAAAGGGAGACTATTACGAAAATCGCTCAAAATTGGAAAAAGTGCTTAATCCATGTCAACAAATCATATGATTATTTTCATCATCTAATATTATATTATATATTTAAGAAATATAAAACGGCGCGCGTGTCTCTGTCCTCTGATATAAACACGGTGGGAGTTCGAAAAACACGAGAGAAGCAAGCTTAGGAACACGAGCGTAGCGAGTGTTTCTCTTGCTTCTCGAGTGTTTTTCAACTCCCACCGTGTTTATATCAGAGGACAGAGACACAAGCGGCCGTTTTATATTTCTTTTATAAAATTTTTCGAGCGAAAAGAAAATTTTGCCGGTAAGCCGTGTCTCTGTCCTCTGATATAAACACGGTCGTCAGCCAATCAGAGCGCGCGTTATATATCAAAAATATTATATATACTTATTTCAAAAAACAGTCGGAGAGAATGGCGAAGGGCGATTGCATGACCGAAAGTGAGAAAGTGACTATGGCCACCCCGTTCGAATTCAAAATCTAACTTGTTAGGATAATCTTGAGTGAAAATGGAGTTTATCACATACAATTTTACAGATAAATCTGTTAGTATTTCCCAGCAATCACCGGAAAAAATCTCACGCTTTTAAGGTTGTAAATTTGATGTAAAGGATGTAAGTGTCCAAAATTCCCCCCAATTGCCGACATCCTTTTTTGCAATAAGGCATATATATAGTACGAATTATTCTATTGCTTCAAGGAAGGTATTAAATTTAGAGTGTAGAACCAAGGGTTAATTCTTACTTAGCGTTGGTCGTCCTAGCTACTTAAAATATAGATCTTCAGCTTAGTGTACACAATCCCTCTTGACAGTCTAGATGTCAAGCACTCTTTGTTTCGATCCTTTAAGTAAAACTGTAGAGAGGTTTGCATCACTCAAGATTCAACACAAACATAGGCACCGGTGCTTTCCCTTGGCATCCAAGCTTTATATACACATTTGASTGCAGACATTTGATTCTTTAAACCCGAATGGCGAACGAAAATCGGACAAAAATATTCTTCACTATCGATTCATTATCACAATCGCCCCCATGTAAGAGAATTCAGAATCCGGAATCCAGTTAAAAAAAACAGCTGTAGAATCTGTAATCTGTATCCTGGGATCCGGAGGAATCCAAATTTTTGGAATCCAGAATCTAGCAAAAAAATTGAAATTCAAAGAAAAAAAAACATTCTTTGGAATACGGAACTTCAATGCTTGGAATTCGGCTGAAAATCCAGTGCGTTTCGGAATCCGGAATCCTCTAGTTCTCTKGATTCTCTTACATGGGGCGATTACAACTGAACTCAATTTATGGAATTAATTTGTAGAATAATTTATGTCTTGAACTACAGCTTAGAGTAAATACATTAAAACGTGAGCAAGACAAGATGGCGGAGTACAAATGCTTTTAYTCCACGCGACGAACTGTGTTCRCCAATACATGACTACAACATCATTGATAACKACTACTTTTAACTTAAATTATACATATATTTGCTTGGTTTGGTTTGGTTTGTGTGAAGCTGAAATCATCGTAGATCWTCCTTACAACTATCTCTAATTATCCTTTCATATGTTACTCAGGGAAAACATACATCGTGTAGCACTATATGCGAATTACTTTTTCATGATTTATGTTTTAGCGCCCTATCACAACTCTTGAGCTGAATCATATGTTTACTAGACTAAAAAAAGTTGGCTCCATGGCGTCCTATAGCGATTATCGTTCGAAAACCATTAAAAYCTCTTCGTGATTTATAGGTCCTTTTCAACATCGATATATTGATCGTTTTTAAGCTTTTCCATGAGATATTCACAAGAAAAAAAGACCAGCGGCCATGTTGGAGGGATGACCAATAGATACTAATGAGAAATCCTTTGTTGAAGTTCCTCCAAGATGACCGCTGTGACGTATTTGTGTTTTACTTTTGGGGTTCATTTATGGTTGTGTTTTCAGACTTATGCTTCCTAATTGTGAATTTATGGCTTTTCTTGTCGGGCAACATAAAAAAGAACTGATTTTTAAGAAATTTCAACAGCATTCGGACGATACTAGACATAGGAATCCCGGRATCGAMTTGTATTCTTTGGTCTTTGTAAGTCGTGTTTGGCTGAATTAGGCTAGTATGGCAGCGATTCGGCCAAAAAATAGAGCCGAACAAATAGAGCCGCTGAACACYTGCATGGACACTGCTGTTCCAAAAGCTTTGGTTACTTCATGATCAGTGGTTGATGGAGCCATTGTTGATCCAYYAGACAGACTAGTTGTAGTCGTTGTTGGTACCAATGTAGTTTGGATTGGTGTTGGCCAATTGAAATTACAACGATTGTTCTTACAACAGTGAAACTAAAACACAAAAGACACCGAGTTAGCATTTGGTAAATTTATTAATTTATCTATTATCGTATGAGGAAGTGGCTGATCCCATTAAAGGATTATAGGAATGTTTATCATTAAATACTGTCTGATGAGTGCGTAGCACGAAACTCGGAGTTACAGCAAAATCTCGCCTCTTTGATATCATATATATAATTTATTTGTTAATTATTAATAAACAATGTACAGCGACGCCATCTTGTAAAATAAGGCACGATGGGGAAAATGTTGTCCTTTACACCGACGCAGCTGACACTAGTTTGCCGCTAGTTCGCGCCATATACTCAAATACAGAAGGAAACAAGAAGGAACAAGAAAAATAATAGACATCAACATTATCTGTGCAGTAGTCCTGACCTTGCATCCCAGAACTTCGCCATTTGTAGTTTTGTTCCTCTTATTGCACATGTCGTTTTKATTGCAACCTGCGCTGCAGTTCCTTAGCACCTGAATTAGTGGTTTCGAGCCAAAATTGTTTGTCAAGTTATAAAGAGCTATCAAGCAGGTATCGTAGCCGACATCACAGGTCTGGTTGATGGGGTTGTTGCAGTCCTGCTGAGGTAGCCCAGTCACGTTGGAACACTGGTAACAGACGAGAGCTGATCCTAATGGAATAGAATAATMTCTTATGAAATAGTGAAAATCAGTTCAATACTTTCCTGTCTGCACAATGTGGTGATGGTTTTGACTTTATAGCCAACTCTAAACAGCTATAKTATCAACCTTTGCTTTTTCACTGAGCACCCCTACTCCTCTGTTTCTTTAGAACCACTTCCGACGTGACCATTATGAAATTTCYACGTGCTTAAAAACACAACGACGAAATTCTGTAAAGCTATATCCGATAAAATGGAAACTGGATTTTAAAACATCGCATAATAACATCATATCATGTTTTCAGAGTAAGATTCCATCAGTTTCTGTTTGTCTTTCAGCAGGCATACCCCCCTCCCTCCCACACACACACAAAATACCGTAGCAATATTTGATGATTTGTAGTGAACTCCTAATAAACGTTTTAAAATTTTTATTTATTTTTTATTCAAAAAAGAGATATACTCTCCACACCTCAAATCCATAAAGTAAGATAGGAACAACAAGAGAAGAGAACATTCTCTATGTCCGACATGCTTTTCATAATCCATTCCGGAGGGACCGGCGGATCCTCTCGTTTTCATTGTGGCCTTGTATATCATTTGTTCATCGATTAAATCAAAAATGCCAGCCGGAACTAYATCCAAAGGACCATACAGTAAGCTTTCTTCTTCTATGCTAGCTGCTTGGGGATGTTTCTCTTTAAGATCTGCAAGTACAGCCGGAGAAAGATTCAGAACTCCAGAGGACGTTTCCTTGTCAAGAAGCTTTAATTAAGGCCGCAGACAGATTTCCTTTCATAACCAGCCTGGCAAAAACTCTAGATATATCCTGCGTTGATTTCCCTTTTCTCGAATGATTGAATCTGCTTTGTATGAACTTGATTTCTTTCATTAGAGTCGTCAGKTCTCCTTGTCTCCATAATTTCAGCCTTCGTTCAATTGCGGCGCTGTGGTCCTTTGCTTTAGACGTTGAAGATGGTTTTTGTAGAATAATTGTAGGAAGAACCATGAAAGCTTTCAGAGTAATACCATTCATATCGGTGTTGTTGTTAAAATGCTCGAGCCAAGAATCGAGCTCTTTTACAAAATCTTTTCCTGCTCTACCGGAAGTGACGTTGAAATGTTYCTTTTAAAATGCACGATTTCATCATATATGCAATTCACTTCCTGACAAAATTCTTCGGTTGTTGAGTCGCCCCAAGATTTTTCCTTTACGTGACGAGATGGCAAAACATCAAAATTAGGTAGATTTGGTTTAATCAGCTGTTCCATTGTGGTCTTTATCCTTGTCGTCCTCTGGGACTTGTGAAGACGAATTATGCAAATTTRTTCTTGGTCTCGGTYGAGCTGTTGCATATTCTGACTCATTTTCGTTCCTTTGAGAAATAAATGAATTATCTTCTCCAAGCACATTTTCTTCATCTCTAAGATCTTTAGATGACTCAATCTTGGAGTTTTTCAAGCCGGGCAGCTTGGTCCCTTAGGTTTTGGGCTTTTATTCCGAGATGCGGATAGCCAAGTTCTTCCCAGAGCTGTTTCATCACCTCRATGTAGCCTTTTTTCTTTCCATCGGGTTTGCGGGGTGGATTTTCCGATTTTGTTAGTTCTAGAGCTCTCTTCTTGCACGATAAGATGTCTTTGTTCATTTGGTCAGTCCATTTAAGCTTGAAAGCAGATCTTTTCGACATTTTGAAAGCTTTCAAAGCCGGAGCAGAGCTCGTACTTCCTAGAGGGTCTCAATGGGGGGGTCCGTATCACGACTCACGGCTAAAAAWTTGACTTTTTCACGCCTCACGGCTAATTTTTTTCTCATTTTYACGAYTCACGGCTAATTTTTTAGCCGTTTCACGGCTCACGGTTAACCCCATTGAGACCCTATTCCTACCCGGACCGATTCATAATTGC